CTGCTGTGCATGGGGTCGCTATGAGTCGGTTCTGACTTGATGGCACCTGACAACAATAACAACATGGAACTCTGGTAGCATAATGGTTACGAATTGGGCGGTGAACCTCAAGGTCGGCAGTTTCAAATTACTAACCACCCCACAGGAGCAAGATGACGTTTTCTGTTCCCGTAAAGATTTACAGCCTCGGAAACCCTATACAGGGTTACTATGAGTCGGAACCGACTCCAGGGCACATAGCAGCAACAATGGAACACAAGGAGTCCTGGCGTACGATAAAGCTCTAGATATCAAGGTCAGTTTGAACAACAAGGTTGATAGTTCAAACCCATCAGCCACTCTTTCGAAACTCTATACAGGGTCACTATGTGTCAGAACAAACTTGATGGTATTTAACAACAACAATAGCAGTAGAACACAAATCTCAAATTTATGCAGACTCACTTCCTGCCCTGGGCATCCTCCTTCATACAATCAGCACTTCAGTGTTGGGTTTAGTAGTATGTTTTCCAGGCTCAGTGCTACCTCCATGAAGCCTATTTTATATGAAGTCACGGGACAATAGAACTGGGAGACCATTCGAGCTCATATTAAGATGAGGAAACTGAGACATGAGACAGTTTAGCAACTTGCTTGCTTGAGGCCAGCCAGTCTATAACTTGAAAACTCAGATGGGAGGAATTCAGGGGTCCTATAGAGTAGACCACTACACTTTTCATTATCCCAGACCACTCTGGATTTTCCTTTTTCTGGATTCCTGCAGTCTACCACATTATTTAACACTTGATGATATTTCTGCATTGTGGCATTGCCTAAATGCTTCTTGAATGCTATTGGCATTGTGGGTTAGGCATTGGGCTGCTAATCTCAAGGTTGGTAGTTCAAACCCACCAGCTGTTGCTAGGAAGAAACACAATAATGTCTGCTTCCATTAAGATTTACAGTCTTAGAAATCCTACATAGGATCGCTATGAGTCAGAATCCACTCAGCGGCAGGGAGTTATTTAATTTTTATGTGGTGAATGTTCTAGAAACACATGCTAATTCATTGATGATGTTGGCGTGCACTAATGTGGACCATGCTTCTGAAATTATCCTTCATTCATTAAAGTTTTCTACTTTCACCATCATGTTCTTTAAAATAGTTCACAGACTGGTAAGAAGTGACTGGCTTACAGGCTTTTAAAAGGGAACCTAGATTCAAAAGGCGTGGAGGAAGGTAGAGTTTCTAGTGAATAGTATCCAGCCTGTCCAGGAAGGGCTGATGAAATGAAATGCAGATGGGTCTCTTGTAATGCAATGGTGAATAATTGTTATCAGGACTGATTGTGAGGGATGGAAATCTAAAGGTGGACATTTTGTAGCAAGGAGGGGAGTGATTAACTTTTCAGTCTAGGAGCGGAGGACCCTAGGACCATCGATGGAGAAAAGCGGATATCGGGATCCTACCCAGAGAAGCAGTGAGGCCTGAGAAGGAGGCAGAGAAGATGACGTCAAGAGATGGTGTGGCTGGGGACTTGGGATCTGGAGAGGGAAAGGGGCTGAGGACTGTGGTGGTGGGGGGTGCAGGCTTACAGGGTACACCCTTTGGTTGGGTAAGGATGCATGGATGGGATGGTAACTATGCAATGTTCATCACAATTTGGATTAGCAAAAGTAAAAATATTAGAAAAAAAAAAAAAAGACGACCAGAGGTGTGGATATGAGTGTGTTGTTGTTAAATGCTGTGGAGTCGGTTCCAAATCCTGGTGACCCCGTGTAGGATTTCCAGGGAGTGGCTGGCAACTTTGTGGTTCAATCCTATCCACACTGCAGTCCAGTGCTTATCCTACAATGCCAAATTCTATATTGTCTTCTATACAATGTGGAATAACATATGTGGTGCTGTGGATAAGCACTGGACTGTTAACGGCAAGGTTGGTAGTGAAAGCCCCTAGACTGCTCCTCGGACACCCTACATGGGGTGGCTATGAGTTGGAACCGACTTCACGTCACTTAACAACAACAATAGAAAATAATAAATGTGTATAAAATCGTGTGTGGATGTGTAATGAATACTGATGTGGTGCTAGAGGATAAGCACTGGACTGCCAACCAAAAGATGAGTGGTTAAACCCTACCATCGGCTCTGCAGAAACCATACACTACACAGGGTCTGTGTGTTAGGAGCCGTCGGCGACTGCCAACACCACCACACAATCCTGTGCACATCGATGAAATCAGTCTGCACAGGAACAGCACGGCGCATCTTTGCCAATCTTACTGGTTAGAAACAAGTCAGAGAGACGAACTCCACCAAGGGGAGGGGGAGACACAAGTTGTGAGCCCCGGGCTCCCTTTCAAATAACTTTTCAGAGCTCTCAGGAAAACGTGACTGGGGACCACCATTCACAAGCCCTTTGCTGTGATCTCTCCAGAACAGCACCCTTGGCCCTCCTGAAGCACTGTCCACTCTGGAGCCAGGACGCTGCCCCCTTCAGATGGGGGCACTCATCAGCACAGAGGTGGAGGAGACATCCGTGCGGATGCAGCGAGGACTTAGGAAGAGCTGGCCGCCCAAGTGACCAGGCCAATCAGCTCCACAACTGTCTACTTCTGCTCTTCGGTCACAATACTCAACAAGCAACTCCATTTCAATAAAACAAATTCCAAAGAGAAGCAAACAAATCAAACTGGCAAAGAAGGAAAGACCCAGAAGAAGGCCGCTAAGGAGGCACCTCGGTCCTGCAGACATTCTTAAAGACTTCAACAGTGAGACTGGGAGGGAAGAGATTGTTACATTTGGCCACATGTAAAAGCCTCCACACGAGTGCAAAGATGAAATGGGCTTCACAGGCAAATAATGGGCAGATGATCCCTTTCCAAAACTCAGGAAGACGCAAGGGAGGAGCCCTATTAAAACCCACAGAGGGACAGGACACATGCCCAGGGAGCCCCCCAAGGCCCCAGGAAGGGAGGCCCCCAAGGCCCCAGGAAGGGAGGCCCCCAGAGGAGAGACATCCACCTGCAGGAGAATTCCCAAGAAGGCAAACGGAAAGGCTCCTCCTCAGCTTCTGCAGAGCAAATATTAACAAAATATCAACAGGACACCCTCTGGAAGGCCCTGGGCAGATGGGGTTGAGCTCAGAGTTTGGGTTGGGGAGGGGGTGTCCATGACTCAGCACTTTCACTTTCTATCTGGGCTGAGGATGGTGGGAGATATGCAGATGAGCCCTGAGTACCATGGGAAATGGCCCTTTATAGTCCTGAGTGGGCTCAGGGCCCTCCTCTCGCAGGAGCCTCAGACCAGAAGGGCAGCAACAAGGTAGGTCTTCCCTGCTCTCTCTCTGATCCCCTAAAAGCCCAGGGCCTCAGCCGAAGCCCCTGAGCCAGAGCGGGTCTGGGCCTCAACTGGAGTGGGGGTGGGTTTGGACTGAGGCCCCCACCTCGTCCACCTGTGTTCATCCGGGCTGAGTTCCGAGCTTGTCTAGGGATGCCCCTGAGATTGGGGGTCGGGATGTGGTGATAACCCGGAAAGGCTGAGGGGCACAGGGGCAGTACAGTTACATGTACGGGACTCAAGTCCTGGGGGACGCTGCAGGACGATGCACTGGACAGCAAGGTCGGTTGGAACCGCAAGGTGGGCAGTGCAAACCCAGCAGCCGCTCCTCAGAGACCCCATACAGGGTCACTGCGAGTCACGCACGACACACTTGATGGCACGTAATAACAACAAGCTGGAAAGGGTGTGCCCCTCTCCCACCCCACCCCCATTCCTGCTCTTGGAGCCAAAGCTGCTCCCGCTGCTGCTAGGGGGCGCCACGGTCACTCCCTTCTCCTTTGGCTTCCCAGGGGATCGCAGGAGCTGAAGAAATTTCCAGAAGCTCCTTCCCAACTTCTGCAGGCCCTCATTGGGACCCAGGTCACCCAGCCTCAACCCAAATCCCCACCAAGACACTTTTCTCTCCCTTCCCGCCTCCTGCCCCTCCCACTTCTCAGTGGCCCCCAGTCAGGAAGGAGGCAGGGCCTGTGGCCATGTGTCCCCCGCTCAGCGTGCGTTACCAGCAGGAGGACGTGTCTTACCTGCGCGAATCTTGGGTGTACCAGCTCCAACATGGCCCCCCGATGCAGCTCTGCTTCTTGTGCTTCAAGGCCGCCTTTCTGGACCTCAAAGAGTTGTTGGAGCTGGAAGCCTGGGGAGACGAGGACTGGGACCTGGACTTCATGGACTACGTGGATCCGGGTCCTGAGCAGGGTGACTCCCCAGGGCCGGGGCCCAGTTGGGGGCAGGGCCAGGCTGCAGAGTCAGAGGGGCTGGGCCAGAACTTCAACTTTGTGCCCACTGAGCTGACGCCTCAGGAGGTGGTGCCACTGGAACTGGACCCTGAGGACACCGACTGGACTCAGGGGCTCCCCTGGAGGATCGAGAAGTCTCACCTGTGCCCCCACTGGCTGAACCACCCTGTCCTGTGGCACGGGTTCCTGAAAACGGATCTGCCGCCGGGAGAGCCCATAGTGCTGCAGCTGGGCTGCACCCAGACCCTGGACCCTGCCCAGGCCCAGGACAGGTTACTGTGCCTGCAGTTCATCACCATCGTGGGCTGCTTGGACTCTATCTACTTCCGAAGGATGGTGCCCTGTCGGGCCCTGCAGATGCCAGACCAGGGCTGGGAAGTGCTGCTAGAGCCCAAGGAGGTCTGGGTTGTGAGGCTTCAGGACGCCTTGCAGCAGCAGCAGAAACTGCAGCAGTGGAAGCTGAGTGTTCTGGAGCCTTCGGCCTTCGGCCCGCATGATGAGCTGGTGCCCGCAGACCTGGCCCTGCAAAAGCGGGGCTTCACCCTCCTCTCCCATTCGCCCTTGGACCAGAGTGACCCGGAGCCAGGGCCCTCCGAATCTAGGCTGCTGTCTGCTGCAGAAGGTCAGGAGCTGGGCACCTTGGAGCTCTGGGTCAGCGGACCCATGGGGCCTGTCATGGAAACCTCCGCTCTGGCGGAAGCATCCTCTGTCCAGGACTTCAGCCGGGGCTGTGAACCGAGGGAATGAGGCCCAGCTGGCTGTGGGGACCTCGATGCCAGTGCCTCCACCTCAACTCTGCAGCCATAAGAGCCACCCAAACGATGGGGCTCCTGCCCGGTGCTGGAGGAATTGGAGCTGTCCAGGGCCTGTGCCTCAGGCCCCTCATGCCACGGCTTTAGTGATACAAATGCCAATAACTGAGACTCTTATCCTTCGATTTTCAGAGTCAGAAATGTGATGCTGACCAGGGACACTTGTGAGCTTGCTTGTTTAGTGATAAGCAGGGTGTGGAGCTACATGCAGGCCCTGACCTGGTCTTGCGACGGATACCCATGTGTGGTCATCTGTCCAGATTGTCTTGGGGACTCCTGGCCTACCGAGGGGGGAGACGTGGTTTCTGATGTTGCCTATGTTCTGCAGTGTGAAAGTTTGGTTCGGTGCCTTGTATGTTGTTGTTTTAGTTAAATAAAGTTGCAGTTCTGTAAAAAAAAAAATAATAAAAACCAAGTACTGGATTTTGTCATACTACACACATAGTGTTCAAAGGAGGCTAATGAGCAAGAGGGTTGTGTGATTTGCAAAAACTGAGTAATGGCGTAAAAGCATAAACTTATTGGTATAACAACACAGTAATTTAATGCCAGAGCTGGCAACCTTTAGAACAAAATCATTAAAAGGACAAAAAAATGCCGGTGAAACCATATGATGGTCTGTTGGACATAAGGTACCATTTGAAAAAGGTAGAGAATGGACAGTGGTTCATTGTATCTTCCCATTCCCAGTGCTAAGCAACTGACGTAGAAACAGAAAAACTCAGCCAATTATCTGGATATTTTAGTTTTTCTTATAAAAAATGGTGTATAGACGGTGTCCAGAATCCTATCATTGCTCAGTTGTCAGTCAAAAAGTCATTGTTATACATAAATATGATGTCATATCAATGCATAATAAACCTCCCTGTCAATCAAAAGTATTGTTATGTATAGACTTTGTGTCAGACATTTTAGGCTTTGCATTGAGATATGAAGTGCATGCAAATTAAGGAAAATTTAAAGATGGCATGGCCACAGGCAAATATATTTAAATAGGCTTTATGGAGGAACTGACACTTGAGGAAAAACAAAAAAAATGCAAGTAAGTAAATACAGTTTCTGAACAAAAAAGTCAACTTTTGAAGAAGGAAAGAAAAATATTAATTTTGTTCTTGTATTATAAGTAGTAAATTGTTCCCATGTACACAAATCCACTCATTAGAATTTTGTAAGTGGAAAAGGAAACATAATAAAAGACATGAGATATTAACAGATTTTTTTGTATTTTCAAATAGAAATTTAAATTTAATATAAATTTTCAGAATAACTATCTGAGCAGTTCATTTTCACTATTATTCAAAAATACTTCCATCTGAAAATGTAAAATTTTGGATTCCATTTTTCTTTCTCATCACTGGTGAAATTTCTTTGGCTGAGAGTCTTCACTGTAGAGCAAGAACTCTTAATGGCAGGGTATAAATACCTGACAGTCTCATTTCTCAACACTTTTGCCTAGGTGTAGACTTTTATCCCTGCTATGGCTGCAACCAGAATTAAAAGAAGCAACATAGAAGAAATAGGACACATGGTCTACGCTCGCATCTTGTTTAAGCCTAATACAGAAGCCTTGAGTTGAGGCAAGTTATGTAACCTTGGTCTCAGGTTCTTCATTTATAAAATAATGTAAAAACCCCAGCCTATTACCAAGCCAGTCTATTCTGACTCATGTTGATTTCATGCATTACAGAGTAGAAAGGGAGCTCCATAGGCTATTCTTGGCAGTCATATTTATAGAAGCAGATCACTAGAACTGTTTTTGCAAGTTGTAGTTCTCAATTAGCATACAAGTGCAAACTACACTCCACACAGAAACCTTTACCTAAAAATTGATAGTAAATTCACTCACACAACAATAGATATTGTGTACCTTGTCTATTTTAAATACTGTTGTTGCTCGGTGTGGACTAGTTGGTCCAACCATAGAGTTCCTATGTATAACAGAAGGAAGCACTGCCCAGTCATGAACCAACCTCACTATCATTGCTGTTTGCGTCCATTGTTGCAGCCACTGTGTCAGTCTGTCTCACTAAGGGTCTTCTCTTTCACTGATCCTTTGTTTCCCAAGAAGCTCTGGTAGTGAAGTGGGTTAAGTGTCAAAATACTAATCACAAGTTCAGTGGTCTAAATCCACCAACTACTCCGTTGGGCAAACATAAGGTTGCCTGCTCCTGTAAAGATTGACAGTCTAGGATTAGACTTTTAAGATTTACAGTGTAATCAATCCTATGGAGCAGTTCTACTTTCTCTTATTTTGTATAAGTCAAAGTTAACTCGACAGCAGTAGGTAGTCTACCTTACCAAGTATAATGTCCTTCTCTAGGGACTGATCTTTTCTGATAACATGCCCAAAGTAAGTGAGAAAATCTTGTCACCCTTGTGTCTAAGAGATATTCTGGCTGTATTTCTTCCAAAACAAATTTGTTTGTTCTTGTGGCAGTCCATACTTTCAATATTCATCACCAACACCATAATTCAAATGCATTGATTCTTCTTTGGTCTTCCTTATTCATTGTCCAGCTTTTGTATGTACATAAGGTGATTGTAAACACCATATTTTTTGGTTCAGGAGCACATTAGTTATTAAAGTGACTTGTGTCCTGTATAACCCTTGGAAGAATTCTTTTGCAGCAGAATTTCTTAGTATAATACGTCATTTGATCTCTTGACTGTTGTTTCCATGTGTGTTAATTGTTGGATCCAAGTAAAATGAAATCCAAAATTAAAGTCATGCTCTTTAGGATGTAAATTATAACCTCCCATGGAGCAGCTTGTGATCTTTCAATTACCAGTCCACTATGTAACCTACAAAGGAGCCCTGGTATAGAACTGTGGGTTAATGCGTGAGAATGCAAAGCCATTTGAACTGCAAGGTCGGCAGTTCAAACTCACCAGCTGCTCCTCAGAAACCCTATACAGGGTCGCTATGGGTCGGAATCAACTTGACGGCACTTCACAACAACCAGGGCACTTGTTGAGAAAACTAAGGACTAGAAAAATTATTTTGCTCATGATCACAGGGTATGAAGTAGCATAATTAAAATTTGAACCTAGGATTCCTAGCTCTTTATTAATTATCAAGAAATTCAGGAAGATAATATAAAATATATATGGTATCCATTGGCTAATGTCACAGGATATGAGATGCAAAAGATTCCGTAGAAGATACGTGTTTTTTCTTCTCAAGGCAAAAATAAAAAAGAAATCGACTTTGCAGTAACATATTATTGCTTTTGCTGTGAAGCAGGCTGAGCTTAAATTTCTCCCACATTGATTACTTCCCCACCCCTCACAGAGACTGGAGTAGGGCTAAGAAAACTGTGGCATATAGGTACCAATTACTGTCAGTTAACATTGAATGTCTTGTAATGGTCAAAATCATGGTAATTAGTGGAATATAATTTGCTTACATAGAGCAGAAGTAGTTTGGATATGAAATTTACTCTTCCTGGTGTGGTACTGTAGATTTTGGACCACAAGGTTGGTGGTTCAAACTCATCAGCCACTCTTCAGAAACCCTATTGGGGTTGCTATTAGTTGGAACTGACTCAATGGGTTACCACAACAAATAGATTTTCTGACAGGCACTGATGTGTTTGAACTGCCTACCTTGCAGTTAGTAGCCCAGTGCTTACCTTACAGACTACTGATACCTAATTGATAAATTGAAATATAATAATATTCTACACATGAGTAAAATTTGTATTTGCTGGAACCGACTCGATGGCACATAACAACAACAACAACAACATACTTTGGTAAGCAAAGATGCTTTGAAGGTTTTTAAATTTAGGTTCAAGCAAACAAGCAAAAAGAAAATAACCCAAAAAGCATAATAAGGAAGCACAAAATGCAGAAAAACATTCTCTTGTAAGTGTCAGGGGATTTTAATTTTGTGCAGAGTTTGAGGTAATTGAACCAGAAAGGACTATATGTGGTGGCTGAATTGTTCTCAAATATCTCCATCCTGTTGACCAATTCACAGATAGACACTGATAGCCAAAACAGAGAAGGTCACAAAATTTCATTAGCCAGCTAGAGAAAAGACTAAGACTTTCCAAGAAGGGAACAGAGAAACAGAGAGATGTAGAAATTTTGTAAAAAAGCAAAATGGCAACCTAGATGGAACGGTGAAGTGTAACTCACTTAGGGATCCCTGAAGCTACTCACCATCAAACCAAAAAATAAGAACAACCTCATCACATAAGGCAAGGTATTTACACAATTTGGGACCAATTCACCATTGAGTGACTCTGTGAGAAATTTGGTTTAATCCCAAAGATGGGCGTTTCTTACTATCCTGCGGAAGTGTACATTCTTTTAGCTCCTAGTCCCAAATGAAATGTGCTTCAAAGTAGGTCAGAGACAAATGACAGCTCTCAAGAGCTTTGCAGCAGACCATATATGTGGCATAAGAAAAACACAGCCTCTTACAGAAAAGTCTCAACTCTCAGGTTTTTAAATGAATTTTCTAGCTGAAATGAAGTACGGAATAATCCTTTCACATTTATTGAATTAAGAATTTTGGCCATGCATTTTATCCTCAAGTTCAATTTTTCTTCTTCATCCATCCATTTTTATTTTTTTATGTTTATAAGTTTTGAGTGTATGGCACTATACCAGACACTGTTATTAGCAAGCATTTTGTAGATATTTGTCATAATGATCTCAGTAAACACTAATCTGGACATACCAAACTCGTTTTACAATTTTTCCTTCATTGCTTGAAGTAACAATTCTGAATCATAAAATCTGAGACATCTATGTGTACGAGTTGGGCTGCTAACCTCAAAGTCAGCAATTTGAAACTACCAGCTGCCCCGTGGGAGAAAGATGAGGCTTTCTGCTCCCGTAAAGGTTTACAGCCTCAGACACCCTATGCAGGGTCTCTATGAGTCAGAACCAACTCCAAGGCACACCATCACCACCATGTAGGTT